TGACTGTAAATGGAAACGCTTGCTGTACAGTAAGTGGCGGCATGCAGCAAAGAGGTATAATCCGCAAAAAAAAAACCCGAAGTAGAAGGAGAAGAAGAAGATGACGACGATGAAGAGCATTTTATAGACAGGAGTAACAATGCGAGTTACTTGGATTGGAATTTACCCTTGGCTGTCGTTAGCAGTGCCATAGATTGGATAAAAAGTCTTTGTGAAGATGCAAGAGTTTCTGTGTGTGTGTGTGTGTGTGTATATATATATATATATATATATATATATATATATATATATATATATATATATATATATATATATATATATATATATATATATATATATATATATATATATATATATATATATATATATATGGTTAAAGAGTATTAATACAAGGTCCATGGCGGTCTTGTGTGTTAATAATGTCACTGACAATGTCAATATCAATGCCTATGCCTTTTGTAGCATTGATAAATATTTTCCTCATGACCGCCCAGGAGTTCTCATGGGAGTATGGTTTGCAGCATCAATGAGCTTTCAACCTCGATGATACGCAATGAGAATTAATTAGCAAATATGTTACACGGTGTTACGGTGTCTGAATGAGCATCTGTGTTCAAGAGCTTGTTGTACCGTCTTGATGATGGAGACAACCTGTGCTCTTTTTATGGCCTCCTTATCTAGCAAACTCCAAGCAGTGCAGCAATCAATGGGAAATTATCTCGGGCAATCGATGGGCCAGCCTTTTATACTTCACCCTGTCTCCTGCTCTCCTGCTGTCTTCCCGAGCCTCTCTCCTCCACACCTCAATCTCTTTGTCCCTTGGCCGCTTCAGAACCATTAACGATATTCATCCTCACAGGCGGACTGACCTTGCTTGTAAGGTAGCTGAATACTGTACGTTCATGAAACCGGTAAAGTGCTCCCTCTCCAAGTGATGATGTTCATATTTATTGAAGGTTTATGTGCACGGTTTTATTGCAATGTAAAAAAAAAGAATGCGGTCTTATTATAGTTGAGTATTTATGTATATTACTGCAAACAATATTAAAGGTGCTTGCTTATTTTGGGTGATCTCTGATTCTACAGTGCCATTTTGTCTTGTTTGTTTTTAGAGCTCACAAGACCTTTGTATTTTGTGGCTCTGGGTGCAGTTGTACAGAGAAATCAATTCACCTTGACTGAAGAAACTACATGTCACCGTAACCTTCACAATCTGAATCACGACTCATCTCGAATAACCTTTACATGAAATGATGCGACTGAATCTGTTGAACTGATCTCAATAAAATGTCAATATTGTACTATAATTTGATCAAAACAATGAAAAACATTTCCCAAAAGCAAATTGCCAGTTAGGAGACAGACAATGCCAGATACCCCCGAAACCAATGGTTAGCATTGTCAATCCAATACTGTAAATCAAAACATTAGTTTAGAGCAGTGTTTTTCAATCTTTTTAGCTAGCTGGTATGGAAGAGTACTACACGATTACTCTGCCAAGTGATAGACCGCACAGGCATACATATTGGATCATTTCTCACGGCTGGTGTGCCGCGGCACAGGGTTTGAAAAACAGTGGTTTAGAGTCTAGATGTAATTCACCGTCATACAAAAAAATGTCATAAGGTGGCAAAACATTTTTTTACTTAAAAGTACTACATAGTTCCAGGATATCCTCAGATTATAATTTTTGGTTTGTTTTTTGTTTTTTTACTCTATCCACGCATTGCTCTTGCTTGTGTCATACATGATGTTCATCAAATTGGATTTAAAATATACCTGGGCAGTTTAACCGGTTTTACATTTACATTTCATGAATTTAGCATTTCTTTCGAAGCTATAGAATTCTTGAAACGTTTCTAGACATATATAGAAGCAATGGGCAAAAAAAAAAAAAAAAAAACCCTTACCTGATTAATTCTCATGCCGCAGCCCATCGTTTTTATTTTTCTTCTTGGTTTATGTGCTGATTTGCTCCATTGCAGAAATGTCATGTATGCATACATACCTTGAGTTCTTTTATAATAGAGTGGCTCTCTTGAGTTAATGAGCTCTTAACATCTAATATTTATTGCCTCTCAAATACATGAGTAGAATGATACTCATGCGTATCGTTCTAGATTTGAGTCAGCCTTTTTTTTTTTTTTTTTTTGGCATTTTGTCATATTTCAGTGAGCTATTTCCACAGCTCAGCAGCTCTTCGTGGTAACAAACCACTTTGACTGACAGCCATTCACAAGTTTTGGAAATGGTGAGCAAACAGCACTTCTCTCAGGCAACTTGTTCATTCCGCCCCTACCCACTGAGTCGGGCCATAACTTGACAACATGAAGGGGGATAGCACAAGTGAGAATCACCACCCTTGCCCCATGCAATTTTTTCCCTTGGGTCAGCCACGGCGAAAACAGCCAGCTAATGTCAGTGTTGGACAACACAATGGCTGTGTTTCACAGTGATGCACACGACAGTTATCGGACCGGACACTTAACCCCGGAGCCAAGACAGCTGATCCAAAATCCAGCAGCAGTGGTTATTTACTCGGCAGTAATGCGCATACTTTTCAGCAGCAACCTCATAAAATCTATGTTCCTCCCGACAAATGTTCTCAAAGTGATAGTAACATTTTATAACCATCGCAAATTGACAAAACAATGTAAGGCTACTGTTTTATAGTGTTTAAATGTCAATGTGCTAAACAGTTTGAGCAGGTGCACTTAACATATGCTCGGTGATGATATCCTGGTCTATTCATTCTTGACATAGACAGGATGATTAGCCCACATATAGACCGTCCCGCTAATGTATGAATTGCATTTAGGTATCACCTTTCCGCTATGTATTGCTTACTGCTGTTAGAAATCATTTACTGTCATGGCTCAATCCATTGTTGATTTGTCGATTGTCTTGTTTTCCCCAAATTCTCTGAATAGCAGCTTCACAAGATACTTGTGAAGACTTAAGTGTTTTTTTACAATCTGCTTTTTTTTTTTTTTTAGAATGATGACCGGGTCATAGTTTTACGGCATTTCGCGAACTAGCCAAATCCCCAGAAGTTTTCATTCCATTTTTTTTTTAATTGCACTCATTATTCAGATTATTGCAGGGGAAATAACAGATTGCTCCCCAAGTGCAGTATGTGTGTAACCACTCTGTGTGCTCACTTGACTACGAATGTCCTGCTATAATTGTTGATTAGAAGGAAAGCATTTCACTGTACAAAACAAAACTGCAGAAAAATGGCCATCAACTACACACAATTATACTTGGCGAGACAACGTAATTTCCTGACGACAAAATGAACCTGATTACAATCCGCAACAGCTAAATTTAACCATAAAACAACATTCATACATACATTGGTCCACTCCCTCTTCATAGCCATGTGTCTCTGCATTATAACATGAGATATTTGCCAAGAGGCCACACAGGTGGATTTTTTTCAACTTTCAACCTATTTCCAATACACCAGTTGATGTTTTTCCCCCAAACAGTGGCACATGCAGCTAGTTGCGCAGTGGCATCCCAGAACCTTTCTCAGTCACTCTTGTCATCATACGAGGCCAAGTCGCCGACGCGCTTTGTCAGGCCGCACTGCACAAAAGTCATGCAGTCTTTAGAAAGGCATTTGTTAAGTGTTTGGTAGACGTAGGAGATGTCACTCCGTGGCCAGAAATGCTTTCTTCCGTGGCTATCCGTTAGCGGCTGTCGACACTTGCCAGCGAACGTGGAAATTGGTTGCCAAACAAAAAACAGAAGGACCGGGGTCGCACTGCAGAGATGGCTGTATTTATGGCACACGATCCCTATGCTCGTTGAACTCAACTCCTCATGCCTATTTTTGCTCTCCTGTATCTTCCATATTTGTTCCTACACAATCGTGTACCGCTAGGCTCACAGACTTTCGCATTTCAGGCCGTTCGCAAGCGCACTGCACTCGCAAATAGCTGATGAATATTCAGTGTGAGGGTGGACTCAGGACAATTTTATTCGACCACATTGAAAGGGTAGGTCATTTGATTAATTGGTCTATTGATGGTTCGAAGCTGTAAATGCAAATTTACTTACTATATGTTTTCCTGTCATCCATATGCATTAAAACATTGAAGGTTGATCGATGGAAGTACAGTATGCGAAAAGCTAATTTCCAGTCGAACAGCCGGTGTGTTTTAATACAAATTTGAAGTGTGAACACAGTTAAATGAAAGCGTTTTCATGCATTTTCAAGCAAGTGTGGTTTCGATTGATTTACTTTAACGCAATAGTCTGAAAAATATAAGTGTGTGTTGCTTTTCTCTGGAGTCTAACACAAAAACGCTCCATTAATAAGCTGTAGCCAAGAGTAGCAGAGAAAAAAGCCTTACCGGACCCTTGGTGGGAAACCATCTGCTTTATTGGCACAGCATTTTGTTCTTTGTTGAAGCGTGGCATTTAAAAGCATATCAAGTCTCTAACATTTAATCCCTGATAATTACCAACGTTAGTTGTCAGTCACACCATGGCAAACAATCTAACATTTTTTTTCATGTTAAGAAGATCTTGATATTAGTTCAATTTAAGATGCTATAAGGCTTGGAAACATTCCAAGGTTCAACCGGTGGATTAGTTTATCAATTTCTTTTTTATGTATGTATTTATTTTTCCAGCTCAGGGAGAGTGTTTTTCAATTTGTGATAGGAACCACTTTCTTTGTCTTTCTGGTGTATGTTACCACTGGGTGTACTGGACATCTTTATAACCAGATTAAAGGACACTTTATTTTGCCGCCAACAAAGGCTGTATTCTAATCTCTTTCAGCCACGGATTAAAGAGTCTCGTTGGCCTTTTAGCTCTCTCTTACTCTTCTTGGTGCTCCGCTCTCTACCGTGTCTACCCAAGGCCGCCTCTAATCAGCGGGCCTTGAGCTCTCAGAAAGGTCACCCTGTCCCTTTGATGGTGTTTTGATTCATCTCTTCCTCTCCCCTTCCTCCCGCCCTTCCCTTTCACCCCCTTTTCTCTTACAGGGAAGTTGGAGAGTCACTACCACCAGGGTGCCAAAAAGGGGCTGGTCGCGTCGGCCGCAGAGTGACGTCTCAAAACGAGTGGAAAGAGGAAGAAGAAACCAACTGATGGGCCACAATCCACAAGTCTGTCTCACCACCGGTTGTATTCAGAGTCTTAGCAGTGTGTTTGAATGGCGGGTAAAGCTCACAATCCTTCCGAATAGCTTTTATTTTCAAACATGAAAATGTGGTGGGCACATTGCACATTCTATTCAAAATCCAAACAATAAAAATGGTTCGTGTGTTACTCCTTTACAGAAAATGAAGAAAAGGGAATGCGCAAAAAATCATCGGTGTCTGCATGTTCTTTCCAAATTTACGATGTCAACTGAAAAAAAAATCTTTCAAATATAAATGAAAAGCTGAGAAGTATTGAATATCTGCCAGTGTGAGTGCAGCGTGAGTGCACAGATCGAAAAGATTCGACGTAAGCTTTGACATCATCGAAACACACTGATGGGTGTCCTGTGTATGCTCAAACAACGCAAAGAAACACAGGAAATTGCTTCTTCGTTTTGTGCTCGTAAACAGTCACAAAACTGCGTTACTGCCTTCAGAATTGAGCGGTTAAGGCTGCACTGCAGAGCCAGCCTAAAAACTGCTCAGGAATTGCGGACTGTACTAAACTCATGCTCATGGGCACAAATGGCAATTCGCTGGTGCCAGAAGGTGGTTGCCAACCCCGCAACACAGAAGTTAATTCAGTGATTCACAGGAAAAGCACAACCTTCCAAGCATTTGTCAGTGTGTATACAATACATGATTGAGCCGGTGAAAAATATAAGCAAGACACTTGTTTTTTTTTTTTTTTAACGTCCCTTATCTTCACTTTCTGTAAAGGAAGATTATTATTCTGAATGTAACTGTATGCTTAATTGAATAGCAGAAATGCTGAACTTTTTTTTCCCCCCGATACTTTTGTCTCCCTTTATTATCCACGAGGGGATTTATAAAGTATCTTTAGCTACGATGTTTTAAGGAGACTGTAGTAGAGCAACTACTGGTGGCTCGAGAAATGCGGCGACCCCTCCTTTTCATATGCAGCCTGTCATTACCCTCCAAACACCTAAGGCCACGTTTAGACCGACAATAGTTTGGGAAGTACAAACACAGCCCACTCATTTATTTCAGACAGAGAGACAATTACTTCGGCACAGTAGGGGTGATTATGCGGAGGGCTTTGGCGAGAGAGCCAAGGTCATCCGAGCACAATCCAAATGGCTTACATTTCTTTCCCACAGTGCAGTAATGTACGGCAAGCCTTAATCACGTCCCTTTGTTTGCCCATTCGAGGTATAAAAGCTTGCATTGTGTGAAGGGCAGTTTGGATCATTTTGTTGTTCACTTGAGCCACAGTGGAAGCGATCCTCACAGCCAGGATCGCTTTCGTTCCGAAGAGAATAAACCACACTGTGAGAAACACTCCGACTCATGCGCTTATTGTTCAGTCTGGAATCCTTCATTGGTATTTTCCCTCGTTGTCATACGTGTGCCAACATGTCCCACCTAAGCTAACTTGTGAATATTTTGTGACATGTTCAGTCTAAACACAGCCTCGCGGCAGGTTTATCATGCTCTTCTATCGCCCGGGGCACATCTGTCACAACAGTTGTCGTATTTTTCTGATTTCCTCACGTGTATTTATCTTGGTAGGAGACGTATGTAAACCACAGCAGATGTAGGTATGTACGATATGCATTTTTTAAAATCTATACATGAGTAGTCAATACATGAGCATTAATAAACTTCTAATTTAGGAAAGGAAAACATAAACTAACCGAATAATAGAATGATATTTGGCTTCTCGTCAGTGTTTCTTGGTAACAAGTGTGCAAAACCTACGGCAAGGGTGTCAAAATAATTTTTGTCGCGGGCCACTTTGGGGTTACGTCTTACCTCGGAGGGCCGTTACGACAGTGAAACTAAATAAATGTTTGTATATTATTACTTGTACACAACAAATTGATGCATTACCAGTTTTGAAATCAGTCAAATCAACTATAATCATTTGTTCAATTATTGTTTGAGTGAGTGTTAACGGTAACAAAATTATTGCAAAATCTCAATGTTATTTATTACACATGACAATTTGACATTTTGGTGCAGATTTTAGCGAGGATCATGGAAGTTGACACATATCATTTGCTTTTGCAGGCCAATTAAAATGATGTGGCGGACCGGATCTGGCCCCCAGGCCTTGAGTTTGACACCTGTGACCTACAGTATCAAAGCATTAGCATCCAACCTGATATATTAATCTTATCATATATTATGTTAACAGAATACTGAACTCCATTTGCTCCCTGTCTTTGAACATTTGAACAGAAACGTTTCACATTCTCAGGATATTTGGTATATGGAAGAGCCTTTTAGTTTTAAATGACAGGCAACTTTCATCTTGGGTTTGTTTGCACGACAGTTGGCTAATTTTCGATGAACATCCTGTGCATTTGCAACTTCCTTGTGCAAATCGACCACAGCCCACTAATAATGCTGTAGTTTTCCTGCCAGGCCAGTAGGTGGCAGTGTAACTATTGCTGTTGGAATGTAACACTGCAGAGAAAAGAATAAAACAGAATTTCTGATTCGCTGACGCCAAATGTTCACTTCATGCTCCTTTCTGACCAGACGTGAAATATTGCACTTGTTTCACATGCGTTTGTATGTGGGGGTGAGGACACTGGAGTTGCGTTGAGTGGGCAAGGAGAGGGGCTCTCCTCCTCGAACAGAAGAAAAAAAAAATTACACATTGTTAGTCAGTCTGGTGACTGGTGATTGTGTTGTCTGCTAAATGCTATCTTGGTTGACGGTTCAACAGTTGTAAACAATTCAGTCCACTCACAAGATACTCCAACTTCCTTGCTACCAATTCACCCTCTGCTCCTTTTTTTGTCTCGGTCCCGGCCGGTAATGCTCGGTCCCACAGATCGCAGTGATAATGTCCTACATTATGTATATTTCACCAGTAGTATCTGTGTGTGTGTGTTTAAAACGTTATTGCGCTGCTTCTCTGCTTGTTCTGTGTATGAGTGTGACATAGTAAGTGCATTATCGATGCGATGCTGACGCGACGCCGATTTTTTTGCTTGTTTGTTTGTATTTTTTTTGAAACATCAGACATGCAGTTACGCTACCAGACATAGGTAAGTGAAGACCAGAATGCTTTTTTTTTAAAAACAGATCTGCAAAACAACAACGATGAATTTGACCTTAGATATTCTTTTGTTTTCTTGTCATCACTTTGCTGTCCAGTGTGGAATTAATTGAAACATAGCTTTGAGAACAAATTCCATTTTTACTTTCTTTGAAAGAAATGTTAATCTAATCTTCCCATTTGGGTTCATGTTTTTCTATCTGGCTCGAGAGGACTAGTGCCTCACCAGTCATGAACCTCACCGCATGTCACCGATACGTGCAAATTAGTCAAACAATCTAAACACTGTTAAAATGACGCACTATATCATCGAGACCATGTTGTCTTTCTTTTGTGTATATATGTGAAGAATGTTCCTGGAAAGGATCATCTAGCATTTTGGCAAGTTGTTTTACTATTAATGGTTTATTGAAACGGTATATAAATAATTCAAGTAGTTTCAATAATGTATTCTAAATTGACTTGCACTGGCCACTCACTGGTTTATTTATTTATTACACCTTGATATTTTGAGGTTAAGACAATACAAGCTTATCTTGATGAAGTAAAATGAAATACAGAAGTCCTTGTACAATAATTGCGGCAGATATTCAAATGATTTCTGTTACATGAATGGAATGGGGACTAAAAATATATGGCTGATTCTGTGAGTCGTTTTAGACAAAGGTTTCCAAAGTCTGGTCAAACCAGATAGACGAATGGACTGGTTTTGCGTTGATATTACAGAAACTCTCATTTGTCTAGTCTGTGTACGTCTTGTCACGAGGAGTTGGTAGGATCCGCGCTGTTCATATTGCATGTGACCCACACCACCGCGTTGGCTGACTTGCTTGGGTTGCTCGGTTCCAGCGTGAGGAGGGGATGCCAGGCTGCCGCGGTCGTCTGGATATGGCCCGTCCACACGCGATTGAGGCTCCCACTTGGACAAAAGCCAATATGTATTGTTTCTTGCTTGTTACTGATATGACTTCAATCCACCACAGAAATACTGAGCAAAAGTCAAGCACGACAGCAAAATAGGCTGTTTGCCACAGACGTTAGAAGATTTGGCTCACTTTACATGGGCACAACAGTTTTGTGGCTTCTCCCAGAAATACATGTTCCTTATGAATGGCAAGTCGTTTGAAGAAGGAAATAAACAGCCCTTGCAGTGGCCTAGAATGATTCTATGAAAGCATTTTCCCGACTTGTTGATGTTTCCTTGTGATCCACATGAAGTCAATCTCATTGGACTCAAACTGTAGTAATCATTCAGTCAAAACGTTTTAATGTGCGTTTTGAAGACCTTTGTTACGTCAAAGTCCGCAGTGAGGTGTTTTTTTTTTGGTTTTTTTTTTTGGGGCGCAATGTCGGGTGTCAACATTTTACCTGCTCTTGCGAGGTGGTTTCCTTCCCAGCTTGTTGAGTGGCACTCCCGACTAAGCCTCTTCTTGAGGGCATACAGTATTTCATCATAGGGAGTGAATCACCCACAGCCACACAAACGCACGCTTGTTCTGGGTTGATGCGTTTCTCACTGTGCTTGGCATTGTAATTCGCTGTTGATTATCTCCCATTTACTCTTGTTTGAGTTGCAGATTAGCTACAACTCCTTGCTCCACGGTATTCAACATCCAAACGCAAAACACAGGCCCTCCCAGTAATCTCCCTCCAAAGAGTCTCCTTTGTGAAGTTTCTCCCATAGAATTTTTTTTTTCCTCCGCTGCAGAGGCTGCTTAAGAATTTCCTAAATTCAACCCCCAGTGAATGAACGATGACAGCTCCTTGCCCTGTGGGTGGCCTTTTCTTCTGTCCCCCACATCAGGGGCATTCCTCTGGATGAGAGCAGACATCCAAGTTCACATAAACAAGGCCTCTGTGCTGCTCAGCGGAACAATTAAGCACATGCTTTCTCACTGGGTCTTTTCTGAGCACATAGCGTAAGCTCATGTGCTGTTGGTTTTTCACGCACAAAGGATAATATGGGCCACTTCATGTAGAACTAATACAGAGTAAAGTGGAATAGATTGACTACCATGGGATCAATGCGACCGTCCTAAACATTTGCAAATCTCATATCACATCAGAGCCCGACGGAGTAACAGTAATGTTATTGCACATTAAAGTACTATAGATGTACCCTTGAGTTGAAAGTTTGAATTCTTTTTACTTAGCCGCATGTGTTACCTTCACGTCATGTGCGAATGTGCTACCCTGCTATTCTTTTTTTGATTCAACTGAATCCTTCTGGCATGAATAAGGCAGGTTAACATGCAGGGGGCTCTTTGGAAAATGTTCTTATCGTCCTGGTTGCCACCATGTTTCGATTCTGTCCACTACACCGTATTTATTCTTGAGGCGGGCTTTTACAAGTCGCCTGGTGTAATTTCCTGGAGCGGAGCCTTTTGTGTGTTCACTGAGAGGCTGATTGAACTAAGAGCACCGGGTGTCCCATCCCCCACCCCCGCAGGCAGGCAGGGAGGGGGGGAGGGATTTGGATTTGGAGCTCTTTGGGAGAGGTGCTGGCAGGCAGTCAGGCAGCGGAACAATACGAACTGGAGACCTCTTTTGGCTCATCCGTCTCATAATATGCCACAGAGGGATGGGCATACAAAGGAAATATTTAGGGAAGGAAATTGTCCCTCTTTGGTTCACTGATGATAGAGTGACAACATGAGCAGAATTATTCATACCCCAGCCTAATGTTGAGTGACTCTCGAGTGAGAAGTGAATTTCTATCTGATGAATCTTTTTAGCCGCAAGTGTTACATGGGAAGAAGAAGCCGTTCTGGATCTGTAATTGTCTTCGTAAACAATCATTTCTAAATCTATTAAATTTGATGTTTTGCATAATTTATTCGCTGGCCACAATATGTTTCTTCAGTGGGCTTCTTCTGGCAACATTGTATTCAGAGATTGCTGTGTTAAATAGCAACCTCTTTTTTTATTATTAATACATTGATACATTGATAATGATTTACACCCTTATGGGACAATTGAGGGGGAACACAGTGTTTTGCACCATTCGGAAGAATCCACTACATGTTAACAAAATCTACAGTGTCTTTCCTGCGTTCAATTTCGATCAGTATATGTGGTGTTTGATATGAATGATTACCAATAATTTCGGGACATAAAACATCAATCCATTCTCCAGACCAGTTATCAAGTCAAGTCAAGTACAACTTTATTGTCAAATACAGCACAGATTAAATTTCCTCCCTCTTAAACAGACAACAAGAGGAGTCGCTGCGGGTGCCCGCGCCACCATCAAAAGAACACTTAACAT